GGACTACAATTCTCAGCAATACATTATATAGCAATGCAGAATGCCACCAGCTATAGAGGACTACAAATCTCAGCAATACATTATACAGCAATGCAAAATACCACCAGCTATTGAGGACTGCAAATCTCAGAAATACATTATATAGCAATGTAGTATAACACCGTCAGCTATAGAGGACTACAAACCTCAGCAATACATTATACAGCAATGCAGAATATTACCACCAGCTATAGAGGACTACAAATCACAGCAATACATTATACAGCAATGTAGTATAACACCGTCAGCTATAGAGGACTACAAACCTCAGCAATACATTATACAGCAATGCAGAATATTACCACCAGCTAAAGAGGACTACAAATCACCTCAATACATTATGCAGCAATGCAGAATAATACCATCAGCTATAGAGGACTACAAATCTTAGCAATACATTATGCAGCCATGCAGAATAATACCATCAGCTATAGAGGTCTACAAATCTCAGCAATATATTATACAGCAATGCAGAATGACACAGGCTATAGAGGTCTACAAATCCCAGCAATACATTATACAGCAATGCAGAATAATAGTTTATGAATTTGCTACATACTCTGTGGTGCCGCTCTGTTCTGGCGTACTGGCCTGATGTCTCAGGCGGAGGGTCTCAAGAAGGGTGTGGAGGATCTCAGCAGGGGGTGATGTGTGGGTGGTAGAAGCACTGTAAACAGGCGCCACATGCTTCCCAAGAAGGCTGCCCTGAGGCCTCCAGTAAGTGCAGAACCTTAAGCAGCCCCTTCCATTTGAAAATTTGAAGCACCCAATCGGTTTTTGGTATCGGGGCATTTTCAGGAGTAAGAGTACTCATGTAAATGCCCAGTATCGGCACCAATACTGGTATCGGTGCATTCCTATAAAAAATTCAACCAAGTACCTCAACTGCACACACGTTAATGCGTGACACAACTGATTAGCTCCTTGTGCTGCCTCTCTCTCTCCTAGTTTGAGCTGTGCTGTACAGTAGACGGCTAGGGACTGTTATGTAGTTAAATTTGGGTGCTTACACTTTTTGCATAAAAAAATTAATAAATGAATAATGAATACAGAGCTTATAACTACCTGGAGTTCTGTATTTTATTAGAAACTAAAGGTGCCCATACATTGCAGGATTCTCGTACGAGAATCGTGGGAAATCCCGCAATCGTACGAGAATCATGCAGTGTATGGAAGGCGTGCGACCGTTTCTACTGTACGGTCGCACGTCTTCCGTCGAACCAGCAGGCTAGAAAACCCGCCGGGAATCGTACGATTCTCGGCGAGTTAGTGGCCTGCTGGTTCGACAACTGCCGAACGGGCCGGTGTGCGCACACAGCCCGTTTGCAGTCATCGTAAGCCCGCCCCTCATTGCAGTCATCGTAAGCCCGCCCCTCAGGGGGGCGGGCTTGCGATGATCGAGAGTACGATCTGCCTGTCCAAGATGGGCAGATCGTACGTTTTTTAAATCACTTTATAACCATCGCAAGACTAAGGTCTTGCGATGGTTGTACAGTGTATGGCCGCCTTTTAGAGGTATAATGACTGGTATAGTCCTAATTATATACAAGGCAGGATCATTAACCTTTATCAGGTATGCCTGTGTGGATCATCTGGCAGTGTGTGTCTTGTTCTCTTACATAATAATGATGAAAATGTCCACCACACTTTACATTCCCAATAAGCAACCATGCTTAATCAGATTAGCATGCTTTTAATCTGTTGGCATTTGTAGGTGAGGGGTTCTTTTGGAAACATGAGCAGTTTCAGCTTTAATTTATCCTGAGTCTGTGGCTCTACATAAGACAACTGCTGTCAGCCTGTAGCTTTGCACTTGATGGCTATTAATAAACTCATTTTGACTGGTGTGAGCAGTCTCGGGAGAGCAGAGCCAGAAGTTTGATTCCTAATGCTGACCTCATACTCACTGATAACTACCAGCCCTGAGGTATTGCCTAAGGAGCCTTGAAATTGGCCATTGGCTGCTTAGAGAGAATGGACCACAAGCTGGGCTTTACTGTATTGTTAAGCCTCACATAAATCCTCTTCGTGTTCAAACTTCCCTCGAGAAGGGATTTTGCCTGCTGTGAAATCTGATATAGATAAATAAAAGTATTAGCATGGGTAAGATATGTAAAGAGAGAGAATTTGCATTTAGTATAATAACATTTTGTTTTGGCTGTCAAAGCAAATGAATAATTTTCTGTATTTTAATAGCATTTTGTATTGCTTACAGAGTGCATAACATCATGTTGTAAAAGCAAATGCACGCTGCGGGGCTTGTTTGGTAAGAAGCAGAATAAACATAGAAAACATAAAGAGTTACGGTGCTCATAAACAGCCCGCTTTCTGCAAGTTATGGTCTTGGAGGATTGGTTGTAAAGGTCAGGTTCTTTAGAGGAAGATGAGTGCCTTTGGCGTCCGGGGGTTCTTGTTTTTATACACACAAATATTCTAAGTTGTTGGCAAATTCCACAGAATTACTGTGCATGTAAATTATCAACAAAATATCACAGGGTTGTCCTGAACCTCCAACACCAGGAACAACCAGACACATACTATATCTCCCCACATGTATGTGGCCTTGTATTAATGGCCTGGTAAATGACTTAGCACAGACCTGGTTCTCCCTCTCTCAGGCTGAGCCCTGAAGTGCAGGAAATTATGGGTGACCAATTCAAAATCAATTACAGGTACCCATACTTTTTATTGACTTATTTTCTTAATAAATACATACCAAGATTAAATGGTAAACTTTATCGGTGCCTTGGGTTCAACTTTAAACAAGAACTATGCCAATGGCCATAGTTCTCTTCAGGGTCACGGGAGGACATATGCTGATGCCTTCCGGTGACTCAAAATTCAGTATATACAGTAGCAGGCTATTGCCTGCTATATACTGAGAGTGCAGAGCCATGCCCCAGCTGGGACAGATCCCAACAATACTGTCAGGATCTACCCCGCTGGCTGATTGACAGCTGGCTTTGCCTATGTAGAGGCAGAGCCAGCTGTGCCCTCCCCTGTCCATCCCACCAGTCAGCACTGGACAAACAGAGAGGGGGGGGGGGGAATCCCTGAGGGAGTGATGACTGACAAGGAGCTGCAGTGAGAGGATCGGGAAGTCAGGGATTGGCAGTATGTGTTCGCTGACATCCCGATCAATAGAGCCGACCTGTGACAGCTTCAGTGTCACAGGTCAGCTTGAATTAAGGGGATGAGTGTTTTCCACTCACCCAATAATTCTCCTTTAAACTGATTACTCTTACTCAGAAAGGAATACTATACAGTGAGTTATAGCCCACAGCTCATTATTTCTATGTAAGGCTTCATGGCTGTGTGAATCTTTCAGATTTGTTTTTAGAAACAGATGCATTTCTTTATCAGGGGAGTTTCTACCATAGATTCCCATATAT